CAATGTTTTCTTCTAACAGTTTCAGAGTTTCAGGCTTCACATTGAAGCCCTTGATCCATTTGGAGTTGACTTTTGCGCAAGGTGAAAGATAGGGGTTCGGTTTCATTTTTTTACGGGTGGAGATCCGGTTTTTCCAGCACCATTTGCTGAACATGCTGTCTTTCCTCCGGTGAATGTTCTTGGCCCCTTTGTCAAATATCAGGTGGTGAAATTGCAGTTACTCATATTATTTTCTTTGTTTCTATTTCATTAATTTCTGCTCTGATTTTTGTTATTTCTCCTTGTCCTACAAAACATTAGAGAGAAACTATTATACATATTATTCAGCCAATTAATTTTATACTCAAAGTAATCATTGAAGGAAATTTAGTCAGGAGACTTTGTAGCGCTGTTTCAATTAATTCCCTTCTTTGTCATGGGTCTGTTCAAGTTGTCGATCTCTTCTTGGTTCATTTGGTTGGGTCCTTTGAATTTAGAAATTCATCCACTTCTTTTTTTAGTTTTCAGATTTAATAGAGCATAGGCCTTTAAAGGATTCCCTTCAACCTTCCTGGTTTTTTCAATCCGCAATATCTCAAGTCACTATTATTAAAACATATAACAGTCCAAATTTAAAAGTCCCAGAGTCCTTAAAAATTCAAAGACATCAAAGTTCAAAGTCTCTTTAAAGGTCCATTAGCTGTGGGCTCCTGTAACTTTGTTCTTTTCAAAAAAAACAAAGATTTGATTTGATTTGAATGACCTCTTTCTTTCTTCTGATTATCTGAGCTACAGGTCTATGTCTATTTTGTTTAACTTTTCAAAGAACCGGCTTTTAGATTCACTGATTCTTTGTATTGTTTCCCCCATTTTTCATGAATTTCTGCTTTTTTTTTTTTCATGTAAGCAATCGGAGATAAGAACCTCCCTATTAGGACCGTTTTTAAAACGTCCCCAAGGTTTTGTCATGTTATAATTTTCATTCCGTTCTGGCAATGCTTTTATCTCTTCCTTATTTATTTATTTATTTTTATTTTCTGCACTTTGGTCGTTCCGGGGTGTGCTGTTCACTCTCTGGGGGATCATGGAGTTACTACAGCTCCTTTGGCTGTTAATTTTAACCTTTATTTTGTTTCTTTCTGATAAACTGTGTGAAATTGTTTCAGGTTTTTCTGTATTTGTTGAGATTTGTCTTGCGCTCCAGGATGTGATCAATTTCAGAGAAACTTAAATGGGCTGCTTAATAGAAAGTATATTCTTCACTGCTTGGGTGGAATATTCAGTAGGTGTCTGTTAGGTCCATTTGATGTATGGTATCATTTAATTCAGACGTCTGTTTATTCTTTCTCCCGTTGACCGGTATAATGGAGACAGTGGGATATTGCACTCCCCTGCTATTACTGAGTTAGGGTTCATCTCGGTCTTAATGTCCTCTAGGTGTGTTTTTATGAAGTTGGGTGCACCAGAGTTTAGTGCATATATGTTCATGACTGTAATATCTTCTTGGTCAGTTGTTCCTTTGATTAGAATGACGAAACCCACCTTATCTCTTCTGATTAGTATTAGTTTCAAGTCTATTTGGTCAGATATTAGAATTGCAACTCCTGCTTGTTTCTAAGTGCAGTTTGCTTGGGATATTTTTTCCCATTCTTTCACCCTGGGATACTGCCTGTCCTTGAAGGTGAGATGAGCTTCCTGAAGAGAACAGAAACATGGGTTGTGTGTCTTTAGTCCATTCAGCTTGTCTGTGCCATTTGACCGGGGAGCGGAGGCCATTGATATTTAAGGTTATTACTGAAAGACGTGCAGTCGTTACTGTCATTTTAATTGGCTTGTGTTCTTGGTCTTATTCTGCATTTCCATCATTACACCCTCCTTGGTTTAGTTTCTGCAACCTCTTGGGTATAGTCCTTCCAATCTTTGACCCTTTTTATCTCCTCGAGGGGCTGCTTCTGTGCACACGCGTTGTTTCAGCCTATCGTGCCATGGACAATTTCTCCTCCCGCCTTGACTTCGGTAGGTAGTTTTACTGGATAAAGTATTCTGGGTCAGCATCCACGGTCATTTAGAACTGGAGACAGTTGATCCAGGCTCTCCTGGCTTTTCTTCTCGTCCTGAAAAGGCATTAGTAATGCTGATGTGTCGTCCTTTCTACGTAACTTGTTTTTCTCCAGCAGCGTGCAGGGCCCTCTCTTTTCTTGTCCGTTTAATGTCTTTTTTAAGATAAACCCTATGGAGTTGTTTCTCTTCTGGTCCCGTCTGATTGGTGTTCTGTGTGCTCCTTGTACACGTATAGCTGTGTCTTTCCTTAATTTGGGTAACTTTTTATCTATAATCCTGCTGAAGATCTGGTCACTGTCATTGACCTCCAATTCCTCCCCGTCTGCTTTGCCTACAGTGCCCAGATTTGGACTTTTCATGGTTTACCACATTTCTTGTGTTTCCGTTCCAGGTCTCTAACTTTACCACCCAGTCTTGATAATGGTTTCCATTTCATTCCTTCTGTTTGTGAGGCTTTCTGCTGCCGTTTCGACCGACTTACTGCAATTCTCAATTCCATCTTCGTTGGGGCTTGGCTTTTCCTCAATATTTGTCTCTGTTTGTGAATTCGCTTTTCAAGTCCTGAATTGCATTTATCATTTCATTCAGTAACACGCTTGCATTTTCCTGAGCTGCACTCAGGAATTTATTCATATGTTCTTTGAATTCTTTGAGATGTATTCTCTCTCTCTTTCTCTCTCTGTCTCTCTCTCTATCTATCTCTGTGTGTGTGTTTTAATTCTTTGATTATGTTTATGATTGCATTGTCTTTTATTTTTAATTTAAAATGTTTTTGCATTGTCTTTTCTGTGTATGGACTGTGCATCTGATACGAATTTTAATCTGACTTTGTTTAGAGGAAGTATGGTCTGTTTATATTGTTGTGGCTCAGGTATGAAAAGCCAGTTGCCCTGGACAGGCTGGTTCCAAGCAGATCAGTGCAGTCCTCTACCATAGGCTGAAGGGAATGCAAGGCTGTAAGGTTCTAGTGCCTGGGTTCTGCTGGACTAGTGAGGATGTGTCAGGTAGGAGGATCAGGAAAGGTTCACAGAGCAAAGACTGGTGTGGGATCTGGGTCAGGAGGTGAGTCCAGAGATCTGAGGCAGGCAGGTCAAGGTAGCGTAGCAGGCAAATTGCTGGGAGTGGGTGGGGGGAAACAGCCTGGGGCGGGTCTAGCAATCTAGGCAGAGTACTTGTGGGCCAGTGAAGTTGGACAGTGCCACTCGTCTGATTACAGGGGATCAAGAAACACTGGACAATGTCTGCGTTAGGACGCTAGTCCAGAGATTCAAGGTGTAGAGCTGCTCAGGGTACAGGGGAGTTTAGGCACAGAGGGTGGGGTCTCACTTACCAGGTGGCAGGAGAACCAGGAGGCCAAGGACAAGGATGGAACGGGCTCAGCCTGTGGTGTCTGACCAACACTGTTGGGGAATGCAGCTTCTCTGGGTGCAGCAGGTACCAGGACCCAGTGCGTGGGCTAGCCCAAGGCTCGAGGGAGCCAGCATGTGGAGAGAGCTCTGCAGCACCTTTTCAAGGTCTGATGACCATTCAAACCGTGTAAACAAGGAGGAGAACTGAAGTGACATACAGCTCTGCCTTTCCACGTCGGCACGAAGACTCTGTCTCCACACTGTTTGCCTTATTAGAAATTCTTGCACTGCATTCAAGAGAAATATTTTCAGTTGTTGAATTTGAGGTTATATTTAGATGCACTGTGAATGAGACTCTGGTCACACCAGTTTGTAAGCATACAGAAGCAGTTTATTTAATCGTTCAGAAAAGAAAACACCAGACAAGATGAGGGAAGAGACACAGGGATGGATGTCAGATCTTGACTTCTGACGAAAGGGGAGAAATCACAGTGACGTGCCGGGCCAATTGTAGATGATTCTGCCTCCGTCTTCGAGGAGCGCTGAATGTTTCTCTCCCTTTTATCATCTGTGGAAACAGGACAGAAAAAAAATCAATTCGTAGCTAAGATTCCAAGGAACACTCCATATGACTGAGGTCGTAAATAAAACATCAAGTTCTAACCCATCCACCATGGTTTCCCCATTTAAAGTGGCCCCATATTCCCCATTTCTCCCTTATTAATACCCTTCTCCTATGGTCCCACCTCCCTTGAGCTCCTTCTTTCCCTTTATCCTCTAGGTTCCTTGTATAACCCTCCCTCCCCCTCCCCTTTATCCATATCTCCCTTATTAACACCTGTTTCCTACTGTTCTCCCTCGGGGTCTTTCATTTCGTTTACCTACCCTGGATCCTGGATACATACTCACTTATCAGTATTTGGTGCTAGGATCCACATATGAGGGAGAACATATGTCATAAAGCCTACATAACAAGAAATAACACCAGACAGGAGATACCTTCCTTTGAGTTGTTGGCCAGGGTGGCCCAAGAGACACCCAGACAGTAACCCAGCATAGAACTGGGAAAATGAACAGCAGACCCCAATCTTATCCAAAGGAGTATTGACAACTGATTACTGCTAGATGAGGAACAGCTGATCTTCCTAAAACTAGGATGTCTAGATAGGCTGACTAGACTTAGCAGATGGAACAGCACTGGGGAATGGCTGGGGGCAGTGGTAACACTGGGCTCCAGTGGGTGGGAGGGGGCTATGGGAGGGTGCCATTTGTGATGTGTGTATATAAGTGAATAAGATTGTTTGGAATGTTCTACGTGAAATAAAAAAAACAATAAATAAAAAATGAATTTTATTTGAAGAAGCATAAAAATTTGCTTTGTGTTAATTAGTAGAGGTCAAACATATTATCACTGAAATCTACCTGATGACTTTATATTCATATTCAGGTGTCAAGGATCTCAGAAAGTAACCAACTATGACTAGCAATAATCAGATACATGGAGATTAGAGAGAAATGTGCAAACATCTAGGCGTCAGTAGCATTAAAAATGAGTCTCTAGGAAACACTATATTTTAAAATGAAATGGAGATCTTTTCTGAAGGTTAAAACCTCATTCAATTTTATGTCTTACAGGGTTTGTACTGAGTTCAATATTGTATAACTGCATTAATTCAACTGTGAGCCTAAAAACTCATAGCCAATTTTGAAACAGATGCATCTGTACTCTGGAAATTGTTATTGAATATGTCATGCTGTTGTGATGAAATGCTTCTTGTAATCGTGATTATTAAATAAAGAATTACAAAATGAAATTCTATGTGTGCTGATTATAGGGACCTTGTGAATGGTCATCTGGGTTCTGTAGAATCACACTCTCAAGAAACCATCATATCCCTTAATCTTGTCTGTTCATTAAGCATGTGGATTTTCCAATTACACACATGTAAGTTAAAGATATTTCTGCATATGTCTGTGTAAATTGTGACTTCCAGAAATCACCAGAGAAGTTAAAAGATGTAGTAATGACTACACTATCGTGTTTTCATTCCGCAGGATGAATTGGTTTTATATTCGGTATGAGACAAAGATATTTCACGACGCCCTCAAACACAGCCCTACGTTCTTATCATTATGTAAAACACGTGGAATATTCTCATACTTTGGCCTATTTTTGATCAAATAATCATCTCAAGTGTCTTAGGGAATTAGTCATACGTGATTCACATATCTGGAGAGGTGAGTGTGTCCTGAGTCTACTCACCGAGTGAATTTCTTCTCTTAAGGACAGGTGTCTAAAAACAAAATGACACAGGGTGAGAGGCGGAAAAAGAAAGACCAATGGAATTTTCCCATGACCAATCAGCGAATCAGCACCCCTACTACAACTTAACAGAGACAAAACACGTGACATCATGGTTGTGTTCACCAACGTCCTCACTGAATTCTTCCTCATACATTTTCCTGCTGTGACCAAACATCCATGACAGTACCTGTAAGATACACATATTCGATATTTTGGGCAGGAATTCTCTGTGATCCGGAATACGCTTCAATGTCTTTGGTTTGGCCAGCATCCAGGGCTTTTTCTTTCCCTGTATTGGGTTTTAGAAAAAGCAGTACATTACGGTCACTAGAATCCTGCCTAGTTCACGTTTCAAAGCACATGTCAGTCCAGGCCCTGCAGTGGAAAACCTGCCCACAAGTACTTTGTCGATGCCGTCCAACATGACCTTAGTCAAGTCCTTCGTTCTTGTCCTTAGCTATTTCCCATTTCACACCCGTCTAGACTCTAGTTTTCATTCCCCAAGTCTCTTGACACCCCAAGTTTCTGAGCACTCTGCAAACCTCTTTTGACCCATTCTGTGCACTGGGGGAATTGTACAAACTGAGGTTTACGACTCTTCTCTTTTACCACACACAGTACTGAGTTACTTAAAATGCGATGCAATTCTGGAGGACATGCAGTAAACATGCCGCTCATGTTATAGAGGAGGAGAGATTGGAGCACGTGAGCCACACGTCTGCATCATGAATCTGACTGGTGGACATCATGCAGAAGTCCCGTGCTCTCATTTCAGACAACAGCCCCCGCTTCTCACCAAGAGCGTAGATCATTTTTGTTTTCCAGCCGGCAGCATCCACGTTCTCATTGTAAAAGATGATGAAGTCTTTCGTCTGCTTCATAAGTTTGTAGTGATTCTCTCCTTCATCTAGAATCCACAAGGAAATAATTCGAAATGCAAAGCCAATAAACACTAGTATTGACCCCGGGTTTACCATTAATATTTTGTGCACATTGATCATGATAGGTTAAAAGTACTAGGGGAGGGAGACACCTTAGATAGTCCAGTGCAATATCCATATATATAGATAGAAACAGAGAGAGAGAGAGATTAGATAGATAGATGATAGATAGATAGATAGATGATAGAGACATGATAGATGATAGATAGATAGATAGATAGATAGATAGATAGATAGATGTAGATATATAAATAGATAGATATAAAGATAGATTATAGATGATTGATGATAGATGATGATAGATGATAGATAGATAGATAGATAGATAGATAGATAGATAGATGATAGATAGATAGATGATAGATAGGTAGATAGATAGATAGATAGATAGATAGATAGATGATAGATAGATAGATGATAGATAGGTAGATAGATAGATAGATAGATAGATAGATAGATGATAGATAGATAGATGATAGATAGGTAGATAGATAGATAGATAGATAGATAGATAGATGATAGATAGATAGA